GCAGGAGATATATATATATATATATATATATATATCTCAATAACGAAAATAAGAGGAGGTGAGAAAAAGGAAATTATAAGATCCACATGGCCAAAAATGAAAAAATAAATAGGAATGAAGACAAGAAACAAAAACAAACAAGGTGATTGTGAAGATAAAAAAAATTAACAATAAAAAGAAATGGATAAAAACTCAGGAAAAACAAAGAACCAACTATGGATGTGCAATTGGTGCAAAAGTATGGAAAAAAAAAAAATCGGGGCAATCAGAATAACAAAAAGGCAGAACGGGGAAAATGGATGCAAAGAAAAGCAACAGGGGGAAAAAGGGAGGGAGAGCGGGGGAAGGAAGGGGAAGAGGAAAAAAAAAAAAAAAACGGAGGGGAAAGGGGACAGGGCGGGGCCACAGGATTCCTTGCAGCCTGCTGCTACGACCAAACCAAAGTTTCTTTGGACGACGTTGGGGATCCGTGGTGTGCTGGCAAATATGTACATTGATGTGTGACACAGTCACATGACAAGTCAGAAATCATTCATTTCAATGGGTGCCATCTTTATTGCTGCGACTCAAGTCACGGTGACAGAAAAATTGTTCTTGCACTCTTTTTCCGCATCTTCCTTGTAACATGACTGCCATAGACTGCAATGTTAAAATCACAAAAGTCGCAAGGAAGTCTTTACTTTGTGCTATCATTACAACTTTTGGCTGTGACTTCAGAGGGTTTTGTAAGTTCAATATTATGTGTCACACTCTGGATTGTTGTAATTGGACAAAGTTTCAAAGCATCAAAGTTGCATGAAAGTTGCATTGAAGTCACATGACTTTTTGGGTCGCAGCAGTGTAGACAGGATTTTTGACTGTCTTGGAGTACAATACAGGACACAAGTCCGGCCCCTCTGTTCCTTATGATTCACCCCTTATTGCCTGAGGCCTGCTGGGAATGGGAGGGACTTTGCTATTGTTTTCTTTTTTGTATGTCTGAATTATGTTGGATTATTTTTCTTGTTTTCAGGTTTATTTCCGGGAAGGAGATCAAGAAAAAAAAGTGTCTATTTGGGCTGCAGAGCCGCGTCCCCCCTCCCGCCCCACAGAGTACAGTGACTGAGCTGAGGCTACAGGACACAGACGTAAGGAGCCCCACTCCTCCTTGTGTAAGGTGAGGGACCCTGACTGACCCCCCGTGTGACAATCACGCCTGCTACCTCTCAGGGTTTTTCAGTAAGGGAGTGCAAAGAGCAGCAATAATGGTCAAAGTTTACAAATTCATAGCAACCTTTTAGCAGTCAGACCAGTAAAAAAAAAAAGTAACTACAGCAAAACCTTTTTATTTTGTTTTAAATAGAGGATAGAAGGGTTAGAACCTCTCTTGGGTTTTTATTGTGACACAAGTGGGCAACCTTCTGCAATGGGACCACAAAGCTATAAAAAGCTGAAAGGGTTCTCACCTTCCCCACTTTTACTAACAAATGGTGTTTCTATAACTGTCAGTATTCCTTTCAGGGATTTCTTCTCACTTCCTGTCTTGATGAAAGTTTTCAAAAGGTTCTTCACTCCAGGGGGGATTGAAAAAAGTCAGCAGCTAGAAATGTAGCTGCTGACTTTTAATATCAGGACACTTAGCTGTCCTAGGATCCCTCACCCGGGCTAGTTCTTTACTAGCCTTCATTTTCCCAGTGCCGGCAGTTGTGGGTAGGCGGGTTTACAGCTGGCTGCCCGCTGCGCATGTGCGGGGCTCACTGCGCTTTATGAATGGTCCCGCAGTCTTCTGGGACCTGTGACGTAAGGCTGCGAAGAGGGGAGAGGAGAAACTCTTCTCGGGATCGCCGAGCAGAAGTGGGATCAGATACCGCTCAAAACTAGGTACCTGCCCCCCCCCCCCCCCCCCAAAAAAAAAATGACATGCCAAATGTAGCAGAGGAGGTGGCAGAGGAGGTGGGGGAGGACTTAAAGCAGAATGTCCCCTTTTGGGTGAAGTTTTGATTTAACTAGCTCACACCCAGGCCAGTTCTGACATTTCTCTCCTACATGTAATATATTTTTTGCTAGAAAACTATTCAGAACCCCCCAACATTATATCTGTTTTTAGGCAAAGGCCCTAGAGAATAAAATGGTGAGTGTTATAATTTTTTATGCCACGCTGCAATTTTTTTAAAACATTCCTTGTGATAGAAATAGGGCATGACAGGTCCTCTTTATGGAGAGATCTGGGATCTATAAGACCCATCTCTCTAAGCTGGAAAGCATGAGATCAGAAAAAAAACATTGATCTTTGGCCTTCCAGAAAAAAAATGGCAGTGGTTACATCTGCCAGAACCAGAAAGGACATACTGTATATATATACCATTTGTAAGGTATTTTGATGATGTTACACCGAGCAAATAGATACCTAACATGTCGCGCTTTAAAATTTGCGCACGCTCATGGAATAGCATTTGGAACTTAAAAAATATCCATAGATGATGCTTTAAAAATTTTTACAGGTTACCTATTTAGAGTTACAGAGGAGGTCTAGTGCTAGAAATATTGCTCTCGCGATAATGTTTGCGGCGATATCTCACATGTGTGGTGAGGACAACATTTACACTTTATGCGGGCGCGACCTACGTATCACCACTGCGGACGAGCACAAGGGGGGCCGGCTTGCTTTAAAATGTTTTTATTTTTACACTGTTCATTAACCCCTGGTTCACATCTACGCGGGTGGGGCTGCTGCGGATCCGCACGAAAATCTGTGCAGCTGCACCACCCGCACAGAGAATTGCGGGTGGCATTAGTTCTAAGGTTCCCATGTGGGCTGCATTTTCCAAAGTAGTGCAGGGACTTCTTTCGCTGCTTGTCACGGGCACGGGAGTCTATTCAAATGAATGGGTTCTCATGCCCGAGCAAAACACGGCCCGCATAGGTGTGAACGGGGGGTTAATGTTTTTTTTTTAATCGCTTTTATTCCTATCACAAGAAATGTAAACATTTCTTGTGACAGAAATAAGGCATGACGGGTCCTCTTTATGGAGAGATCTGGGATCTATAAGACCCATCCCTCCTTTAAATTGAAAGAATGGGATCAGAAAAAAAAAAAAACATCGATCTTAGGCTTTCCAGAAAAAAATGGCATTGTTTACATCTGCCAGAACCAGAAGTGACCTAGCTTCTGGCCTCCCAGGACCATAGCGATGGCTGGGATCCATCTGGTGTAATGGGCGGCGGCGGTGGTGGCTTCTTCTTGCTGCCTGTAAAAGCAATCCAGTGGCTAATTAGCCGCTAGGATGGCTTTTACATGACAGTGAATCAGCCACTAAAAAAAAAAGATACCAGTGTGATGCCTGTAGCTGCTTGCATCATCCTGATATCGCCACTCAACCACTTCCAGTCCAGACACTTTCACCCCCTTCCTGCCCAGGCCAATTTTCATCTTTCAGCGCTATCACAGTTTGAATGACAATTGCACGGTCATGCAACACTGTACCCATATGAATGTTTTAACATTTTTTTGAGACAGATAAAATTTTATTTTGGTGGTATTTATTCACCACTGGGATTTTTATTTTTTTGTTATATAAATGAAAAAGGTCCAAAAATTTTGAAAAAAAAGTATTTTCCTTATAAAATTTTGCAAATAATCTTTCTTCATAAATCTTGGTCAAAATGTATTCATCTATCTTTTTAGTAAAAAAAAAAAAATAACCCAAATTAGTTTATAACCAAAAATTATGATTTTTACAAATTTATTTTTAATTTTTTCATATTTATGTTTTTTTTAACATACTGTCACCCTAGCAGTACAGTGTCACCATAGTGACACTGTACTACTTGTGGGGGGTGATGAAGATTTTTTTTTTACACTGATTGCTGTTACACCCATAAAGGCTGTAAAAGCAATCATTCCTGCAGCCATTGAGAAATACTGTGAGAGCTGTGATTGGTCACAGCTTGTCACATGGTACAAGGCTGTCGTGAATAGCCCTGTACCATGTGACCTCTGTGATCATTCACAGATTTCACAAATAGTAAGCAATGATGTCAGGAAGTGACATCTTGTTTACTACTGTTCATGTGATCACTGATTGGCCAATCAGTGATCACATGAATCGGGACCTCACACAGAGGTCCCATCCAGCGATCGGCGTTCTGCTGTGTCCGGAGGACACAGCGGGCTCTGATCACGGTGCTGCACGCTCCCAGGGAGCGCGCACAGGAAATGGAAATATTCAATAGAAAAGAAGGGACTTTCAGGGTGCATGAGCATGAATACCAAACGTATTAAAAAGTTATATAATTTTTATTTTGTATTTTTTTTTTTTTTTTTAAAACAAAAAAAAGGAAAAAATACATACACATAAAAACAAGTTCAGTACTAAGAGTGGAACTGAGATTCAAACTTATGATATAATTGTAGTTACTCCCTACATGTTTCGCCCTCACGGGCTTCTTCAGGGAAGATTTTTTTGAAGAGATTTCAACCGCCGAGGCAATCTAAAGGTATATCAAAAGAAAATTATAATTTAATCATTTTCTTTTGCTATACCTTTAGACTGCCTCGGCGGTTGAAATCTCTTTAAAAAAATCTGCCCTGAAGAAGCCCGTGAGGGCGAAACATGTAGGGAGTAACTACAATTATATCATAAGTTTGAATCTCAGTTCCACTCTTAGTACTGAACTTGTTTTTTATGTTTCTGTATTTTTTCCTTTTTTTTGTTTTTTAAAAAAAAAAAAAAAAAAATACGAAATAAAAATTATATAACTTTTTAATATGTGCGTTATTTATGTTCATTCACCCTGAAAGTCCCATCTTCTCTATTGAATATTTGCAATTTTAAGGGATGTGGTGCAATAATATCTGGTCGTTCGCTACTTTTCTGTTACTACAGAAAATGGAAACGGGGGTGCGTTTAGAAACATCAACCTGCTTCGGCAGCGCTCCCATCCGGCTGTTTATCTACAAGGGGCCAGTCGGGAAGAGTTTAAAGTCCAAGACGTCATATGCAGGGGCGGACTGAAAACTCATGGGGCCCCCGGGCAATAGGGGATCATGGGGCCCCTGCGTCCTTGCCCAAACTCAAAAAAGCCTATGAAAAAGGTACCAGGGGCATCTCATGGAGCCCCCTCCTGAACCCCGGGCCCTGGGGCAGTGCCGAGTTTCCAAATGGCCAGTCCGCCCCTGGTCATATGACATCCTATGGGCAGCAAGTGGTTAAACTCCAGGAAAACGTTTCTAATTTCTTTTAATTCTGAAGAGTACGGGTAATATCTGGAATGGCTGCCAGGTTTGTATGGCTGTCACTGCCCCCATTTGGGTGCGATTGTCATTTGGCAGGGTGTCACCAGGACAGGAAGTAGGAGGAAATCTTCCCAACGGAATGCCAGACAGCAGTAAACAGTAAAAATGGAGGTTCTAACCATTCCCTACTTCATCCTAAAGGAAGGACAGATATTGCAGGAGATGTGCTTTACTTGTGCTGGGTTGGTATGTGTGACAGCAGATTGCTCCTTGCCTTACTGACTAAGCCTGTCTGTATATGTAACAAGCTTGCCTCGCGTGTCTCCCTTCCCCTTCTCAGCGAGCGGATATAAAGATCTCTTGCAGTTCCCTTTCAGGGAGGATGGGGGTCCTGAAACGCCCCCCACACAGAACAAAGACGCCAAGCATAGCGCAAAGGACGCGGAAGGAGAGGCAGAAGCTGCAGAGAGCGGTCACCCAGGTACTGTGGGACGTCAACGTTCATTCTGTGTTCTCTTCCATATTTGACTAGGAATGGCTTTTACTGGCTGCTGAAGTGCAGCTTCGGGGTCAGTGGCGGACTGACAACTCATGGGGCCCCCGGGCAATAGAGGATTATGGGGCCCCTGTGTCCTTGCCCAAACTCAAAAAAGCCTATGGAAAAGGTACCAGGGGCATCTCATGGGGCCCCCTACTGACCCCTGGCCCTGCCAGAGTTTCCAGATGGTCAGTCCGCCCCTGTTCGGGGTATATCGAGAGCCGCTCTGTCCATACAGTCCCGTCAGTCCTCATTTGTAGGGTTGGAGGAAGTTCCCATGATCCTTTGCAGCCCGATCAAGCAGTGTCTTCGTGATTCTAGGTTGTGTCGCCTTCCTCTTCCATTATTACATCTTTCTTTCACAACAAATTTCTTTTAAAGTAGAACTCCAGATCAAACCTTTTTCAGTTTCCTTTCCTATAGAATGGGGAAGGAAGTCTGTCAGGCTTTTATTGCTGTCTGTGACCCTCACTTCCTGTATTGGTGACCACACTGGAGATGAGGACAGATCTCCCCAATACAAACCATAGACCTTTCTCAACCCAGCGTTCCTCCTGAGGTGTCTAGGGGATCCTTTGAGTTGTGGCCGATGGACCTCCCATGTGATGGTGTCTGGGTCCAGTGCCACTTGGCAGAGCCAGCCGCATGGAAACAAATGATCTTTTACAGCTGTATGTGAGGGTAGCATTCTGACCATCATTATAAGGGGAGTATTGTTCTTTGACCAACAATATCGGTGGCATACAATCTATTGACCGCTGTTGAATACCTTTTAGCAAGGGTTCTGTAATGTTGGCCATACACAGTTAGAAAATCGTTCGAAAAGGCGTTCAATACATTCGATCGTTCAACTTTCGAAGCGTTAGCGGGCTCATTTCTATTCTTGAAATGCAAAGTTTTATGGCAAAAAAGCGAACGGTCATGTCAAATTTTTGTAGCTAAAAGCTTTACTAAACCCACAACAGTAAAATCAGTCCGTATATGCAGTAAAGCATGCTTGTTATACTCACTGTTTGATCCTGTCTTTTCTGATCCTCCCCTTCTTCTACTGTGCTGCATTAAACATCCTGCCTGCTCACCATTTTTTTTTTTTTTCTAAAGCGTTACTTTAAAAAGGGGATTTAGCTTTTTTTTTTTTTTATTATTATTTTTTAAAGTAAAAATTTTAAAAAATTGGTGAGCAGGCAGGATGTTTAAAAAAAAAAAAAAAAAAAAAAAGAAGCTAAATCCCCTTTTTAAACTGTTACTAAACGCACAACAGTACAATCAGTCTATATATGCAGTAAAGCATGCTTGTTATACTCACTGTGGAACCTAAGGGGTTAATCATCTGCATTGTGTAAACAGGCTGTTTGATCCTGTCTTCTCTGATCCTCCCCTTTTACTGTCTGTAATCCATATGCTGATAGAACAAAGCCTTGTTGGCATGCTGCACATGCTCAGTTTGGCGTGTATGGCTAGAGAGTTTTGTTTTTTTTTTTTCTTGGGAGAATGCATGTGATCAGCACAGGGCCAATCAGCACTGTCCAGACAGAAGATCAGGGGTCATGCAGCCTCATAGGACAATTAGGGGAGAATGAAAACTCCTCCTACAAGCTTTATCCAGTGCTCTGCTGGACACTGATAGAAGTCACAAGACTGCTATATACTGCTGATGAGAAAAGGTATTTAGCAGTTTATATTTACTAACAATAATTGAATTTCTATGTTCTGTGGGAGAACAGACATAGTGAAGGCAGAGTCATTCACTTTAAACAATCGATTTTCTAAGCATTAGTAGTGGAATTGATCAAAAAGAGTGTGAAAAAACCTACAGCGCACGCTTGTGGTAAAATGTAACCCTCGAAGTACAATCAACAAGCAACGAAAAGAAAGATATTTTATAGTCCATATAAGGAAATAGAAAAAGGTCAAAAAATCTTTACGTCATTTCTGCTAATCATGTAATTGGTCGATGAAATATATACCATTTTTGTTGTTATCAATCAATAATATGTTGATAATTGGGGGAAAAATTATGATACAATGATGGCGTTATCTCATGCACAATCGGCAGATCTTTTGAATCTGACCGTTTTTTGGAACAATTTTCTAACTGCGTATGGCCAGCATTAGGTAATGAGCTTCTGACTTGAGAACAGATCCTAAAAGAGCAATACCTGGAAGTGGCATGAAATGAATTCAGATTGTCATGCTTGAGTGTTGTGCCCAACTAATAAGAGTCAATACAGCAGGGCTGGGGTGTCCAACTAAATACTAACCACAGAAGTCGCTGCAGACCATTTGGGACTGGCTGTATACAGGGGCGGACTGACAACTCATGGGGCCCCCGGGCAATAGGGGATCATGGGGCCCCTGTGTCCTTGCCCCCAAAAAAGCCTATGAAAAAGGTACCAGGTGCATCTCATGTGGCCTCCCTACGCAGCAACCTCCCCGTCATGGCTAAATACCGCCTGACAGGCAAAGCTTCAACATTTCTCCACAGTTTTGGAGGTGTCTGCGAAAACACCCACCTCCATGTATTCTTCATGGTTCATGGGCAGCCCCACATGGTCAGGAGGAGTTCACAATAGACAGGACAGCATGGCCAAGGAAGTGCCAAAACACTTCAGCTGTAATATTCTTTATCTGGCCATAGAGGATGCGATTTTCTTTCCTGCAACCATGGGTTGCAGGAAAGAAAATCGCTTAATTCCACCATCAACTGTCTCTGCCAGGAGAACACACTGATAATTGCTAGAGGCTAGTGGACACTGAGCCCGGGTTCACACTGATGCGGTGCGGAATTTGCAGCGTTTTTTGTGCGAATTCCACACCGCATCAGAATCGCACCCCGTTCATACAAACCGCTGCAGGTGTGTATGTTACGTTAACAACACCCCGAAAGCGGTCCGTAAAACGCGGTGCAATGTGCAGAATCAGATTGCATAGGTGTGAATACCCATGCGATCTGATTCTAGTGCAGACCAAAGGGTCCGGCATGTTTTTGGTGCAATTAGATCCATACAAAATGTGTGGCTCCAATCGCACCGCACACAAATCGCATGTCATTTGCACAGGAATGCGGTGTGGTTCCTGTGCAAATCACATGAGATATCTATCTATTCAGTTGTATCCAACCTTGGCGATTGCATGGACCGTCACTCGTAAGCAACTTTTTTCCATGAATTCTCTTAGCATTTATTTTACAGGGTAGGTTGCCAGGTCTTTCCCCAACCCCCACCATGCAGGAGATCCCACATGGCCAGTGATGAAGCTAGGACAATTTTAGACAGGAGCCAATTAACCGACCAGCATGTCTTTGGAGTGTGGGAGGAAACCGGAGCACCCGGAGGAAACCCACACGAACAAAGGGAGAAGATGCAAACTCCATGCAGGAGGCACCATGGTCGGGAATCGAACCCATGACCCAATTACTGCAAGGCAGAAGTGCTAACCACTAAGCCACTGTGCCACCCTCACATGAGATATACCGCACCGCATATATGTGAACCCAGTGTGAAGGAGAAGCAGAAGACACAGCTGCACAAATGGTTGGCTCCTTGGGCTTCTCCCTCTCTTTGCTGTACAATGTATAGAAAGAGGCTGATACCAAGTCAACAGGTACTTATATTAGCTGCTTTTAAAAAACACTTTTTCTTTTTTAATGAATATGTACCTACAGCAGTGGTTCTCAACCTTCCTAATGCCGTGACCCTTTAATACAGTTCCTCATGTTTTGGTGACCCCCCAACCCTATAATTATTTACCCAGTAATTATAATTCATGAAGTGTCGTTTTACCTCCAATACTGCTGCTTTCTACACAGTAGCTGCTTTCAACACAGTATAATATATGTGTTTTCCGATGGGCTTAGGTGACCCCTGTGAAAGGGTCGTTCGACCCCTAAAGGGGTCGCGACCCACAGGTTGAGAACCACTGACCTACAGGAATTGATGTTGTATTAGATCTGCCTAGAGTTCAGCTTTAGGATGGTGCACAAAGATCCCATCTAGGTAAAGGAAAGCAGGCCATAGATTAAACAAATTTATTTCCTTCCACCACGGGTAGAAGGAAAGAAAATTCCTTGATTTCCCCTCAACACTGTCAGTGCAGATGGGGGAATCCCTCCTGCAGCACCATTGTGTTCTGCCGTCGGGGAACCTTCCCTGGCAGTAGAACACTACGATCAGTGTTTCCGTCTATAGCCGGCGGCACTAATCATTCTGGAAAAAACAGGCTGGTTGTACACAAGTTGATCGACTTGTGTACAACCAGGGTGCCCGTCGACTTGTGTACAGCCAGGGTGCCCGTCGACTTGTGTACAGCCAGGGTGCCCGTCGACTTGTGTACAGCCAGGGTGCCCATCGACTTGTGTACAGCCA